AAAATATATTAAATCCAATATATATCAATAATTTTCTTTCTAAATATCTTAATTAATTGTTAAAAAAATTTAAACTAATAAAATTAGAATTAAATTAGTATATGCTTAACTAATTTAACGGCGAAAATATCAGCAACCCAAAACAATGTTCTCTTCTCTAAAATGACTTGGGACTAAATCTGTTTTTTTTTTTTGGCTGCAATCATCTCAGCAGTACTGAGTACTTACTGCAACATTCTTCCTTTTACGCAATCTCTTTTCACCAAGATGAAGATACATTGTCATCATGATCAAACATAATAATATTATTGTATATAATCATGGTTTTTTTTTTTGTTGGCCATATATATAATCATATTTCTAATCCTAAACATAAAGGCAATTTTTTTTAAAAAAAAAAATCTTAATAAATTATTATCACCTCTACTTGAGGAATATTTATTTCTTTTTTTAATAAAATAAAATTATTAATGTTATATTTGTTTAGTTTGAGAGAAATTAAAAGAAAAATAATATCTTTTTATTTTTACTTATTCGCTTATTCATATTTTAGGTTTGGTCATATTAAAATTATATAAAAAAAAATTTAAAGTATGCACCTTTCCTCCTTTCTATTCATCTCTCCAATTGTTGTTATTTAAATAAGAAAATTTATTCCACTTCTTTCCTTTTAAACCACACAAATTCCTAAAGTATCTTTGTTAGTTTCTTAGGCAAGTTTCTTAATTTCTTATATATATATATATATATATATATATATATATATTCTGATCAAGAAAGCCATCACTTCCAAGTTCCCACAACAAACATAACCATCTAGCTAGAGAAGGAAAAATAATTCACAAGTAATAAAAATAATCGGCGTTTTTCACGCAATGAAACAAACTAATCGAATATATATTCATTCTTATAAATTAAGAACTTTGAGCCAATTCATCAAAAAATAATAATAATAATAATTGAAAGAGCAAAGGGAGTATAGATAATATATCTTATATGTATTAATTATAAGATTTTATGATATTAATTGGTACATATTCTAATTTAATATATTATATA